ATTTTTCGGATTTCTACTACGTAAGCAACCTTCCCAAGTCAATCCTACGCACGGCGTTATACATGAGGCCCCAGGAACCTATAGGATTGTGGGAGTTCTTATTTATCCCAGATATATTGTGTTTTTAAAGTAATTGTTTGTCTCTTATCTGTTCCCATAGTTGATGCAGCAAAATCCACTGTGTAGTAGGGCTGTGCGATTATGGCAAAAATCATAATCATGATTATTTTGGTCAATAATTGATATCACGATTATTAAAAACGATTATCAATTTACTTTGAAAACATCCATTTATTTAAAAAAAAAATGTGGACATTATGTTTTTAACAGTTGATTACCCTGAACTTTGAGTATAATTCAACTGAAAAACAAAAAAATAATAATAATCGTTTTATTTCTATTACGTTGTTTTCGTAATCTATTGCAAGCCAAAATCGTAATCGAGATTAAAATACGATTAATTAATAAACTGTGGCATATTTTGCACTTTTCCCTTCATTTTTAACCTGGATCTTAAATACATTTGACAGAATCTACTCCACAAGGTGATGATCATAGAGGTTTAAATACTTGGTACCACTTTACAATAAGACTACCCTTTTTTACGACTAGTTTGTAATTTATTTATTAATCAGGTTGTGAACACTTCATAAATCATTAATAAGCTTTTATAAGACATGAGATAAACAGGGCAACTGTGACCGGTTGCTTGCCAAATAGTGAGCCCACATGTATCTGTACTGCTAAGCCTCATTAGAAATGGTAGTAACTCATTACTACATGGTGATTTGTTTCACACTTTACAATAAGGCTCCCTTTTGGCAACTATAAATGTTAGTAACTCATAAATAAATGGTCATAAAGAGATGCCAGGAAAGGCTTAGTCATCTTGCCAAATAGTGAGCCTGTGTTGACGTATGAAAACTATGTTAGAACTGGTTTATAAATGGTTCTTAATGATTAATAGAGTGTTTACTAATTCATAACCTAATTCATAACCCTTTATGAATCCGTTATAAGGGTAGTCTTATTGTAAAGTGGTACCCAATACTTTGTGTAGATTAACGTGTCTGCTGAGGCTCATGCAGGGGAACGAGAATGCTTGTGTTTGTGGTTAAATGACAGCAAAAGATGGAGAGCGACCAAGAGAGCTGCCTGAGGCAAAGCATGTGAGAGTCATCAGCAGAGGAGATACAGCCGTGTGTGTTTGTGTGTGTGCGTATTGTGTGTATAGTGTGTGTGTGTGTGTGTGCATTAGTGCTACCTGAGGCCAAGCCAGTGAGCGTCACCACCAGCCACCCGGACCAGGCGTCGTACAGGCTCTTTGTGAACTCCCATGCCGAATCCTTTTTCTTACTGTTGATCTAAAAACACAATGATAATAATTATACTTGTTGGGGTCTTCTCTTTCCTGTAGCGTGTTATAAAGATAATATAAGATGCACTTTATTGATCCCAATTTGGGAAATGTTTGCGTTGCAGCAGCATAAAAGACAAGGCATTATATAGGTTTTTATGCAAATGCTGACATCTCTGTGTTCCCTCGGAAGGAAGTGTCTCTCCCACACACTCTCCCCCCCCTGCCTGAAACGCCTCCATTGGACTCCTTTTTTTACTTCTGTACAGTGGCGGAGCTAGGGGGTGGCTACTTGGGCTCAAGCCCCGGATGTTTTCTGAAAAGCCGCACATTTTTCACAGAGAAACGTCCCGTGAGTAATGTGCAGTACCGGAGTCCAACAGAGAGGCAGCAGCTGCGGGACAGTAGTCTGCGTACTACCCCCGCTGCGAGGCTCCGGCGAGTCCACAGTGAGCATAATAAGGGCCCCTTTAAACAAATTGACTTAAACTGGCAGTAATGCAAGTATGTCAAAGGTTTATGACTACAACATCATGATAAGCGGTTCAATTATCTACTCTCGTGCCGGGGTTTTATGCTTCAATAAAACAATGAATTCATGTAAGCCAGTTTGTGTCATCATTCAAATTCTCAGAGTTATCCTGCACTAAATCACTTCTGGAAAGCGGGCTGAAGTGCTGTATCAATATTTGCATAAAAGTTTTTACAGAGAGGTAGTATCGCTGACCGCAGATAAAGGGCAGGAAGCCGACAGTCTATTGTGTCTCCCTCCACTCCGGTTCATTCATGAGTTTAAACTTTATGCTAATGAAGACTGTGAGAGGTCGTTTAAAGCTACTAGGAGGAACATGAGACTTGTTTAAGTCAAACAAGATTGTTGCAATATCAAAAAAGTTGTGGAAATATTAACGGTTTTGAAACAGAAGATCATACATTTATTTGGCATTATCTTTTTTTTTAAGATTTAATTTGGAGATCTTGTTGATATAGTTTCAGCCATCTAGGCTAAAAAACGCTGATTCTTATTACCCAGTTGTTCTGTTATGTCATCAAAACTCATTTTTGCAACACAGGAAGTGTGTTAAACATCACTTCCTGTGCGGCATAGCAATTTTCGCTGACAACAGCTAAGCAGGTTACATAAATGAAAATAGGCTCATCTATGAGGATGCTTGTGAGTGCTGTATCAATTTAGCTTTCTATTAACACTCAGTCTGAGCAGTGAAATCCCTTTGATATTCTAGTCATGTTTTAAGACTAGCTGCAGTATCCTTTAGTAAATGCGCTTATTGGACTGCTTAAAGGCAGGGTTATATTATAAAGTAAAGTCGTTTTTAAATGTGTTCTCTAACCGTGGCACAAATCAAACGTTTGTATAGTTGTTACAAACTGCCACACTTGAAAGCTAAATAAAAAGCTTACCTTCATAGAAACACAATATTGTTGAAGTACAGGGATAACAATACCGTTTTCAGGAAGACATGTTAGTGTTGCATTCAGTTGTTTATATGAAAAGTGCTCAAAATTCTAGCGTGTTTGAAGCGTTTTGAGACTTTAAAACGTTTTTTTAAATAGTTTTATTTTTAGCTAGCTCCAGTCTCCTCACCTTCCGGTGCCTCTCGCGGTCCTTGCACTTCTCTCGGACCCAGTCGATGGTGTGGAAGTCGTCGTAGGTCCCCACACCAGGGATTGGCTCCTCTAGGAAGTCCAACAGGTGGGTGGTGCTGCTGGGTGCCCCGCCCCCGTTAGACATGACGTAGTTAGACCCTGAAGAAGAGAGAAAGTGAAGTATAAGAATTCACCATTCAACTCTGTACATAAGGGCTTTAAAACTTTGAGATGTTTTATTCTGAAAGAAGCATGTTATATCAGAAAAAAAAAAATATATATATCTGGTTAGCAAGTCAAGTCCAGTCTCTTGAACCTGTATGAAGCAAGTACCAAATCAAAAGGAAAAGCTTGTGATGTGCTATTTTGTCCAAGCTGCTTTGCTGTTCATTTAATCCTTATGCTCCAGAAAAGAAACGATATCCATCACAGCACTGCCTGCTGCACATTAGAGCTGCATCTCCTCGATTATCCAGCCCATCAGAAACACTGCAGAGCTAAACACAGTCATCACGGAGAGTTAATGACACAGCTACCCTGAGGGAACCCTGCACTCCATCACCTCAACAAAAGCAATAAACAGAGTGGAGGTTTATCTGCAAAGCTGGAACATTTGAATGAGTAAACTCTGCAGTTACCTGGAGGTCATCTTTCATGCAAATGTATACACACCTACACTGGAACTTCTGAGGGGAATAGAGCTGCTCGTACTTTTCATTTTTTACTGCTCTAGTTGTCTTTTATGTTTTACAAAGATTGGTTTCAAAAAGTCTTCTGCATCTTCTACTATAAGCTCTTTATGCAAGACCTGGTTTACATAATGACATTAGTTTTATGTCTAACAGGGGGCTTTTTCGTGAAGCCCTAAAAACGACAGTCCTTTTTAAGTGTAAAAACTTTAACTACTGACATTCTGGCAGTCTCATTACATTTGATCTGATATTATTGGCCTTCACAGACAATGTGCCTGTATGCTTAATAACCAAGTACAGTCTGTACAGTAATGACTTTTATATGAGAATGACTAGTTACAGCATATATTAATTATTTAACAACAAAAAATACAAAGCAAACGTTGTCCACTGCTGTTTAGAAGATGTATGCCGATATTTGTGTATTAGTTTATTATAAGAAATGTTCTTAATAATCTCTCTCTCTCTCTCTAAAGGATTTTCATTGCTGCCAACTGGCTCTCCTGGTTTCATATAAAAAACACAAGTCTTTATAATGTCCTTAATTATCATCCTAATAACCTAGCAAGTTATATAAGAGGGCCATCTCATTAATATAAGAAATGCACTGCCACATATGTATAATCTCACACAAAGTGTAGGTATTTATTAGGGAGAACCCTACTCTGACATTTTGAAATGCCTGATACGCCCGCTCGTGATGACGCAAAAAATGGGAGACTTCTTCGTCTGCGACACAAAGGCAGCACAGTGTTTGACGCGGACGAAAGGGAGGCAAAGGGCAATGGTTAGACAATATCGGAATCACAAGTTCAACTGGTTCATCCTGTCTGTGTATCATATCAGATTGATCAATATGTCAATGGGTGTAATTACTGTGTTTTTACAGTAAATGTGAAATATAGACTCTGTGAAGCACTGAACAAAGGAGGCAACCAGTCTTAGAAATTGTACAGTGGCTGCTAAAAGTAAGGGTGTGAATGCTGAAATGTGGGCGAGAGCAATGCCAATCCAATGACACACAATGGATAATACTAAATATTGTGGGACGCACACATTCCAGTCCACAATACATTTTTAATCTGCTGAGCAAAACGTCAACTGGGGCAGGGTCATTAGTTTAAAACAAGGCCTCATTCATAGCCTCTGTGATCTACATTACAAACCTCAGAGGCCTCTCAGCAAAGCCATAAAACAGACCCTAAAATGGCATTGACAAATCTGCATCCTTTATAAGCATTACAACACTGCAGCTGCTATAACTAAACCAAGGTATTCTCATACAACTATAAAAGGCAGATGGAGAGCACAGACCTCCTAAGCCAAATATGGTACCTCGCAAAAATTGAATAACCCTATTATTCGGATTCACTCCAGAATGATTGGCTAAAGCTCGATCCCTCCAACAAGTTTAACTACAATCTTGCCAGTAGTCTTTCCGTAAACCTAGTAAGAAACAGACAAACTCACCCAAGTGAAAACAAAACCTCCTTGGCGGAAACACATCTCAATGTTTTAAAACATTAATCCACATCAGGCTGAAAATATATAAGTAGTGAGAATCAGGCGCATTGAATTATTGTCAGTTGCGAATATAACTTATTTTTAATCCTCGATAAGTGAGACATAACCAGCAGATAAATCCAGTTTTCCACAGTACCAATGTGGGCCATGATACCACCTTTGAAAGAAAGTGAGGATTATTAGCTCATATCACTGCCTTCGATGTTTGAAGGGATGTGAGAGGGAAAGAAATCATAAACCCTTTGGGGAGATTTTCTGTAAGAAGCAGAGCCAAAATGGCCAAGTGTTTATTTCTTCTGACCGGGCGATACATGTGGTGTTCAGAGAGGAGAAAGAGGGAAGTGAGCTACTGTTGTGGAGTCAGCAGCAGTGAGAGTCATGTTGGCAGGGAAAGACTGTTTCTATCATTCTCCATTTTGATTTCAGAGTGACGGCTACAGTCTGAACTGTGCAGGGAAAGAGTGTGTGTGTGTGTGTGTGTGTGTGTGTGTGTGTGTGTGTGTGTGTGTGTGTGTGTGTGTGTGTGTGTGTGTGTGTGTTGGTGTGTGTGGTGTGTGTGTGTGAGATGACTCTGATATGGACATCTGTTCTTTTAAAGATTAAAGTTGACCTTTTCTGAACCTATCAACAGACCGACTATAGACACCTGAGGGCCAAAATAAAAACAGGAGAGCTGTGTGTGATTCCCTTACCAAATGTTTTAAAGGAAATGTTTACGTGGTTACTATATACACGAGTCATCAGTTTGTACTTCTGCATTGTAAGCACAAGCCTTTTTCAGTCAAAATAAAGCCAAGACCTTCACGATTTGGGAAATGTGAGACGTGCATACTAAGGACATAGCACTTTATATTGATTTCTGTCAACGCTCTTCAAATTACCCATTTAACAAGATGGTCACGGTTATGACTTCGTGGTCTTCTTGGTACACCTTTAAGTGATTGTCTTGGATTGTGCTCATGTTACAACATTCCCAGAACAGTGCATTTATTTTACCTGGGTCAAAAAACAATACAGGCTTTTCATAAAACAACAAGCAGACCCACTTCAGGGCCCACTAGAAACACCGTAGTGGCGGAAATACTGACCACAAACACAAATATGGTTCAAAGAGATGTCTGCAGCATTTACTCTCACTGCCCAGCAATGAACATGTTGGTGCTACAAACTGAATGCTTAATGTTTCTTGGCAAATTAATAATGGTTTGTTTTGAAGACACGTGCAAGTGCAACTAAAACTGCAAACAACACAGCAGAATAATTTCCTAATTTGGGATAAATAAAAGACTGCAACTCCTCACTGAAGTAAATTAGCAACATGTAGAAACAGAATGAATGTGGCTTATGATCAATCAGACGACTGATGATGCTGCACTACTGGCATTCATCAGTCGAATCCAGACTGTGTATTCAAGCAAGGGTGATGCCACAGAAAAACACTAAAGGAGCTGCATCTGATGATATGAACACAGTGGCAGCATCACGCTCCAACGGTTCAGTGGCCACATAGACAAAAGATACACATAAGAAATAAGGCTTCAGTTTCTCTCCCTTGTGCATTACTTCAGTGACGCTGCAACTCTGTTCGGCCTGCATCAGTTAAGAGCTGCGTCAGTGCACCTACTGCCTGTCAATAATCCCTTTTCTCTGAATGAATCTGACATGGCCTTCCTGTGATCATTGAGAGTGGAAATTAGCATCAGGTGTGTTCAGAGGTTTCTGTGTGTAATGAGAGGAGAAATCCCAGGTTTCCAGTCCAACAAGCGCTGCATTCTTGTGTAATATAATAGCCCTACTCTACTACTGCTGAGTAAAACAGATCAGAGAGGTTTAGAGGCGGCTGGCTAGGACAACCTGGATCGGCCAGGTCGGAGTAGGGTTAGTCTGCTCAGCCGTCATGTGACCGGCATCATAAACTGACCCCGACAACCTCCATACAGGCTAAGACGGCAGCCAGACGATTAGACCGGTGGATTCCCTGAAGTCACACGAAAGGGTGTGCTGATAACTGGATCAAAGTCCGAAAGGCCCCTTTTTTAAATGTGTGTTTACATATGATGTGTTGATTCAGGATAGTTGGGACAAGGACACATTGTGTAAGGTGAATGACCATAGAGCTACCAAATTGCTTATTTTTTTTTGCAATAATAGTAGAAACAGTATGTCCAGTTTTACAGGTTACTTTATCAGGAATTTGGCAAATAAACTTAAAAGGATATTAATTATAAATGCCAGAAGATGCCTCTACAGTAAAGGGGCTGACATAATGGAAAGAGATGGACTGAAGATTGTGAAACTGTGGCTGCAAAGAGAGAGGAAATAAAAGCTTGGATGTAAGGACGTCCTTTTGCACAAAGTGAATGTAAACAGTCCTAAACGCACTAGAGGCCTTTTGTCTCTGCTCGCTCACCGTAAAAATCTAACAAGGCCTGGAGGAACCAACGCACACACGCACAGGCAACTGCAAGATAAACTCCCTAAAGGCAGCATGGGAAAGAAAAACAAGGGTGCAGAGCAAGAAACCACGATTTCCCTGCATGGCTTCACCCTGAGGACTGTAAAGTGTGATGTGATGTAAAGTGACCAACAGGTGTCGTCTCGCTGCAGAAACATTGAGCAACATCTTATCTACATCTCCAAACATCCAGTTAATATTATGTTTAAGACAAACTGTGGCTCTGTGTGCGGGAAGTTAAAATGGATGCCCATGATGTTGCCTTTAGTCGCTGCTGCTGCTTACAGGCCCAAGCCTTCACACTGACTCAACTCCTTTATCTCATTATCTCGGGCTGACCTGCACACACACTGCTGGTTGATCATCAACAGAGGGGTGGATGGTGAACGAAGCGGGCAGGTGGCTGTTTTTCCCTCATGCAGTTAATGGCAAACACACTCTGGTTTCCATGCTTCACCAACAGCAGAAAACGGTTTTGCTCAACCTGC